CAGTAGCTCTAAGATCTTTAATAATAAATATTTTTTTCCTTTGAATTCAGAATATACTGCTGTTTTCAGAATATACTGCACCCCTTTTCTTTTGTCTGTAAAAATAATTTCATTTAAAGGAAAGATGCTTATAAGCATTTACACTCTTAATGTTAACTACTATCTGTAGTGAAACCTGTAGATACAGGTCAGGTTCACTGTACAGTACACAAATAATAAGATCCTGAGTAAGACAGTGTTAATGTTTTGCCTCATCATTGGTTCAGATGGCTTATCAAACACTCTTTAGATTTACAAACCTATCTGCTCAGCTTATCTTCGTTCATCCCTGCCTTTCCCATCAACCCAGTGGCTGGACATTTACTGGGGAGGAGAGTTTAAAATTTACAATCTTAAATTATTCTCTATATTAGAGAATAAAACAAAGCACGTTCTCTATGAGCCACTCTGAAAGCACACACATTACATGAGAGCTTAGCCACGTGCCCTCAGTGTGTCTTTGACACTTGTTGGCACTCCCATTAAGGCAAGCTGCAGGGCAATATACCTTTTTTAAAGGGAGGTAAGGACAGTGGATCAGAGGAGGTTGTACTCAACCTTGAAATACCACATAGAAACCCTCGATAATTGCAGATGGAGTTATCTTGAGGACGAAAGTCTAGGAAGCGGGTAGGCTCAGGGGTATGTAATGTCTAAAGATAGTAGAGGAAGCCTGTAGGAGAGAAAGAACACAAATTCTGTCACCTCCTCAGTTTTGCCTAGAGCTACCTCTGACATTTCAGTTTATTAAAATCATCTTTCAAAGGCAAATATTGAAGGAAAGAGGGAGGAAAGGAGGAAAACTCTCACAAGGCACTTTGTCCTGATAATCAGTTATTACTCAGGAGCTTGCTGTGTCATCTTGGTCACTGAAAAGATCATGGAAATAGACACAGAGGGGTCCCCTCTCTGCCAGTTCACCAAGCCGGTTCACATGAGAATGTGTAGATGTGTTTACGTTGCACTAGACTCTCTGAGTTCTGATACTGGCTGATCCACGTACTGGATGTGTGATCCCAGGAAAGTTAGTGGCCCTGTCTGTGTCCCCACATCCCCCATCCTTACAGAGGAGTAATAGTCCTACCTCACAGGGCCCAGTGGTTGCTCACTAAGTCTTACATCATCTCTTTCCTTTGCCTTTCTTATTGCCTCTTTCTCTCAAATTTGATTAGTTTTACTAATTCAAGCTTAAATTCAATGTATTTTCTTTTGTTCCTTCTTTTATCTGTTTGTGTTAAGTAGAATAGTGGCCTATTCTGAATTATGATGTGTGTGTGTGTGTGTGTGTGTGTGTGTGTGTGTGTGAGAATTATCTAAATTGGGAGATAGATGACATTATGTCTCCCAATGTAAAATTTCATAAAAATAGAAATCATGGTTTGTTGAATCCTGAAATTAAACTGAGGAAATCCTCATCTTTCTCCAAGAGAGATTTTGATATATCTCATACCTGTTTGCTTGCTGTTAATTTTTTTCCTTCAAGGAAACACAGGATTTTAAGTTGGCCGTATTAGTTTTCTTTTGCTGCCTAACAAATTACCACAAATTTCATGGCTTAAAACAATGCCCATTTATTAGCTCATAATTTTGTAGATCAAAAGTCCAGCACAATGTGACTGGGTTCTCTGTTCATTGTATCATAAGGCTGAAATCAAGCTGTTGGCCAGACTGAGTTCTTGTTTAGAGACTGGGGAAAAGCCACTGCCAACTTCATTCAGGTTGTTGCAGAATTCAGTTCCCTGAGGCTGCAGAACTGAAGTCTGTGTTTCTTGCTGTCAGCTGGGCACTGTTCTTTGTTCCTAGTACTCTGAGATCCTTCCCACGTGTCCCTCTCCATCTTTAAGCTAGCAACAATGCTTTGAATTCTCCTTGTGTTTCCAATATTTGTGACTTCCTCTTCCACTAATGGCCAGCGAAATCTCTCTGCTTTTAAAAGGCTCGTGTGATTAGGTTAGGCCCACACAGATCATCTCCCTGTTTTAAGGTCAGCTGTTCCCTATAACATACCCTCGTTGTCGGCATTGGGTCCATCATATTCATAGCCGCGGGGATTATGCAGGGCGTATACACCAGGAAGAGAGGAGTTTGGGGGACATTTAAAAATCTTGCCTGCCACATCTGCTCACCATGCTTTTTGTTGTGTTTGTTTGTTTTGTTTTATATTCCAAGGTTACAGAAGAGAATGGTGAGCAAATGCCCTGTTACTTTGTCATGGTAAGCTTACAAGAAGTTGGAGGTGTTGAAACTAAGAACTGGACGGTCCCCAGAAGGCTCAGTGAGTTTCAGAATTTACACCGGAAACTTAGTGAGGTATGAATACTCATGAACACAAGAGTTAGAATTACTGAGCAGGAAAAGATATATGAGCTCATTTCAATTTTTACCCATAAGGAGACTGATTACTTTTTCTCATTTGCTGTTGAAGCTGGCAAAGGGGCATTTTCAGCCCTGACATTAGAAATTTACTCATAGATCAAACCATCTCGTGTAGTCTCAGTCCTCTTCAGGACGGATAATTGTCTGATCTCCATTGTGAGTGGAGCCCCAGAGAACCCCAGAGCTGAAAAATAATTCACTCCCCAGAGCACTGTGCTTTAGCTGCAGGATCTGGACTATAATCAGAGTGGTTTTGAAGCTGCCAGTTGTGACCTATTAGTGGGTAATGCAATCAATTACGGGTGGCAGCAATAGAATGAGAATAGAATATATTGAATTTCATCACAAAAAGTCGAGTCAGTAAAGTATCATATTGAAAGTACAGACTCTGGAGCCAGTCTGCTCGAGTTTGGATCCTAGATTGACTACTTACTGCTCTATGATCTGGGACTTGTCACTCTGTTTCTTTGTGCCTCTTTCTCCGCATCAGTGAAAAATACAAATATGGATAGCAACTCCTTCCTTGTCTCACAGAGTTATTGTAAGACTTAAGGGAATAAAGGAATACGAAGTATTTAGAAGAATGTATGGCACATAATAAATGTTAT